TTTAAAGGGACAATTATAGTCTTATATACATTTATTAGAAAACAACTAAAGATTCTGAAAATAAATGATCCTAATATTCAACTCTAGAAACTTGAAAAAGAGCACCAGAACAAACCCAAAGAAGTTAGAAGGAACAGAACTTAAAGATAAAAGCAGAAATTGAATCGATAATTTTTTTAAAGAATTAACATAATTTTTAAAATTAAAAGTCAGTTCTTTGCCAAATCTGGCAAGCCTTTCTGGATCAGATCCTCTCACCTTCCTCTCGCTTACCCTAGGGATCCTTTTGCAAGCCTCTATTATGTGGGGTATTTACGATTTATTAGTTTCTCCATTTAGACAAATACCTTTCTTTAGAGCAAGGGAGTATTCTTTTGTCCCTCTTTCAGTGGCACTAAGCATAGGGCCAGTCACATTGGCTGTACTCAACCATTGTCAGTTGAAGGAATCAATGTAAGAAAGATTATAATACTGTACCGCTCAGAGCTGTATAGCACGTGACCTTTATTTAAGGCACTTACTTTTCTTTATCTCATTTGATGTGTCAGGGTCCAGGGCAGGCTGCCCCCAAATATTCCCCAATGGCATATTATTTCAAATTAAAATCACCTAAGAAGCAGCAAGAGCAGGATAAGCTCTCTGACTTTCCTCTGTCTCCCTCAAAGCAGGAAATAAATCTTCACGATAGGTGCCCTCCTTGCTTCTGAAGGACTGAGACGTTATCACAGAAATATAAAATCCAGTGTTGAAAATGCATGTATAAGCAAACCTTGTTATTCCTTTACTACCCAAGGCGAAGTTTAGATTCCCCACTAACAAATATCCAAACCTTTCTTTGATTCCTTTCTAATGAACATTTTTCATCTTATCATTTTTTCACAAATTTATTGTTTCTTTGTCTAAAAAAATATACAAAAGGGGCTTAGTTTATCATTTCTTTGAGCCTCATTTTATAGTCTGAGCATCATATTGTGAGTCTCCCATGTGCACATGTTAAACTGTTTTTTTTTTCCCAGCTAATCTAGTCTCATGCCAATCTTATTATTACTACGCCAGTCACAAGTGAAAAGGAGGGTCCTTATGATTTTGATTAAATTTAGTTTTAAATCCTAGCTCTAGAGATCCTCTCGATAGATAGATAGATAGACAGACAGACAGATAGATAGATAGATAGATAGATAAATAGGTAGACAGATAGACAGACAGACAGACACCCTACAAAGATCTAGCCTTTCTCCTAGATAATCAGCACTGCAGAAGCAGCAGAATACAGTAGCCAGGTCTCTAGGTCCACACCTGTGGTAGGCTAAAGATAATATTTTGACCTAAGTTATGTTTTAGCTCCTGAGCCCTAAGGTGGAATGACCCCCTGGCTACTTTCCCATGAGATCAGACAGAGAAACAAGGAAAAAGACCTCAGAATTGTTCTCAATACCTAAAGAAATGATTTATTAACCTTATTTCACTTCCAAGGAAACAGTTCTCAGCATGACTCCCAACACCCTACACTTGCCTTGTGATTTTGCCCTTTGTAACCTGTAAGGTACAGACAATGCTATACTGCAAACTCCTTCTGGTGTATTTCTTTGGGCCAATGCATGCTGGCAGGCTAACTCAAAAAACAAAGCAAAACAAACAAAAAATATGGGGAGTTATGGTAACACAAGAACTAAAGGAGGGCAGGGGGGTGATTCTCTCCCCCAAAATTTGTTTGTATGGGCCCTATTGGCCCTGAGAAGCGACTGAAGCAAGGGTTATTTTTATGGATTTTTATAGATCACTTTGAAGATTTGATAGGTAAGAAAATCAAGGCTGGAAGAACTCATCACTTCCAAGGGGCAGAACTGGAACTAGAACCCAGGAGTTTGAACACCAAGTCTAGAATCTTTTTTATTCACACGGTTTTCCCACAGAGTTGGGGAGTCAACACATTTGTTGAAAATGAATGGTTGAATATCAAAATAAGATGAGCACAGTGGTAGCTATTCACTGTTCTGGCCTCGAGGCAGTAACGTGTGTGCTACATACAAAGGAATTCCACCCTAAATGATTTATTATTTTTTAACGTAGTATTTAAAGAACCATTCACTTAGCCATGAGAATAGTGAACCATTCAAAGAAGCTCGCCTTTGTGGCAGAGAGGTGAGGCAGCAGAGGGGCTGGGTGGGCGCCAGGTGACATTCATGGACAAATTCCACGCCCCACTCTGAGGGTTCAGTGGGGGCTTCACACCAGCCGCCTAAGTCTTCCAGCTACTGCACCGACCCCGGTGACCCCGGTGACCCCGCCGACCCCGCCAAAGTCATGACCAATCTGTGGAGAGATCTCTGGTGCCCTCGACCCTCCGCTCCTCCTTGCAGCAGGGGTGGGGGGCTCGGGAGAGTGTGTGTGTGTGGGGGGGTTGTTTCCTTCGAGTTGCTCTGGGGCCTTTGGCCCCAGTTTCACCTTCACCTGCTCATTCATCTCCAAAAATGCAGTCCAGCCCCGAAAAAAGAGCCGCGCCTTGGAGAGGGGGCTGTTGGAGAGGCCACGGAAGATGACTGGGTCCCTAGGGATCATTGTAGGGCTGCGCTAGGAGCCAGAGGGAGAGGGCGCGGTTTCCATCCAGCACCTCCTCCCCACCACCAGGCAAAGCAGAGTCAAGACCCTCTAGCTCCTTGAGCTTTTAAAAGGCAAACTGGACCAGCAGCGTTGTTTGTTTACAGCCACAAATAGGCAATATCCTAAATGTCCTTCAGAAAGGCGCTAGGTGATAAAAAATAGTGACACGTACAATGGCGCATACTGTGCAATTCTTAAGAAAAACCAAATTGAACCAGGTGCGCTTGCATGGAAAGACCCTCCAAGGTATAGTGAGTAAAAAGGCAAGTCACAGAAAAATATTGCAAAGCTGCTTTGTAAACACTATATCTGATATCGGCCATTATTTATAAAATGTGCCCACAGAATTTTTAATCGCTTTCTTTCCTTTCCCTGGGAAAAAGCCCCTCGCCTTCAAACTCAGGTAATTACTCTGAAACTTGTAACTCAGGTTATTGATTAAGTAGCTCGGGTCCTCAGGTTATTGACTCAGGCCCTCTGGTTATTGATTAAGAATCACTGAAGCTTAGCATTCTTCTCAGTCCATTGTAAGCAGAAATCACCTTAGGTCAGGCAGGGCCATTGTAGTTGTAGGGAGGAAGGAACCCTTAACCCAAGGCTTTCTTTCTTCGAGTAATGTATTAACCTAGTCTGTCTCCCCTTAATAAGCTTATTCTTTCCCCTTAATAAGAAATTCAATACTAAGAAAATTAATAGATATGTGATTTAAATAACTAGTTTACATCTTCTTTTCTTCTTGTCTAGGGACAGGGCCGCATTTTGGCGGGATACATCCTTTGGCAGGAGAACTTGAGCCTCCATTGTGACTGAGACAGGAAAAGAGCTCCATGAAACCCCAATAGGCAGGGACTACAACCCCAGGAAGCAGATATAGAAGAAGAGACTTCATGTCCTTCAACATCCACACTAATAAGAAGGGGTTCGTGGCTCTTAGAAAAAATTTAGGCAGGAAAGATAGGGGGTTTTGGGTCCCCTACAAAATGCTGAGGCCATCCTGTTCTAAAAAAGGCCCACATTGTCTGCCCACAATTAAGTAAGCCAAAAGGCATTTTTAGGCTAAAAAGTAACTTCCACAAAGAAACAGGTAGGCAGAGAATTAGGTACCAGTTTAAGACAGTCACTCGCACCATTATGGAGACCATAATGACCAAGGACCCCCAACTCACTTGAGCTTCATTATGCCATCATTATAATATAATGCACAAGCCCCAAAGTTCATTAATATCATTTAACAGACTGAATTCTGGGAATGAACATGTGCAGAAAGGAAATGATGAGTCACTGAGTCCTGTCAATCTTAGTTGTCAATCAAGGAAGCCCACTCCTCTAAGAAAAGTAACCACCCACGGTTAGGCAGGGATAAAAACCCCAAAGGCTTTTTTACTAGGCCCATGAGTCACCCTTCTTGTTTTCCAGCCGCTTCCACGTCTGGAAGTGTACTGTTGCTTACGTAATCTCCCTTCCAATAAAGCTATTCTTTTGCTGCTGCACTTAGGTGTCTTGTTCAATTCTTTGTTCAAGACATCAAGAACCTGGACAACATGTAGAGAAAGGAACAGAATCCTCACTCCCTGGTAACATATCTACATGACTATGCACACACACAACACAGAGTTTGTTGCAGAGGGAAAGATCTGGAAGGGCACACCTAAAAAGTGGGTTAGGGGACTGAAGAGTGAATCTCAGTTTTAAAAAAATATTTTATCATAGGATAAAATGTCTATTTCCCAGGAGCCCATCCTGGATAACGTATTATATTTAGTTTTCATATCTCCTTAGGCGTGTCTTGGCTGAGACAGAGTATGTCTCAGACTTGCCTTGTTTTGATAACTTCCATGGTTATGAGGAGTACTGATTAGGTATTTTGTAGAATATTCCTCAACTAAGATTTGTCTCATGTTTTTCTTATTAGACTGGGATTATGTAATCTTGGAAGACCATACTGGTACATACTAGCATTGTCGATTTATCACTCTTGATGATGACCTTGATCACCTGGCTGAGACAGTTTGCCAGATTTCTCCACTGTAAAGCTCCTCTCACCACCTCATTTCCGGTACTATTGGGTGATCTTTTTAATGTAGAAAGTTTTCTTTAAAGAGAGTCATGAACAATGGTACACTGGCCTGGAGGGGTTTTGGGAATCCCCTCCCCTAGAGTATAGCACTAGCGGAACCCATCATAGAAGGGAGGGGGGAAAAAAGGAGCTCCACGCTGACTTCGGGGAACTCCCAGCCGAGAGGAGCAGGGTCAGCGGCTTCCTTCCTATGGCTCCAGGAGAGGGCTCCTCGCCCAGTGGGCAAGGAAGGCTCTCACCTGGAGGCGGAACGGCTCGCAAACCATCCTCGTCAGTCCCCTGGTCCCGCCCTAGAACCAGCGGCTCCGCCCCGGGGTGCGTTTCCGCGGCAGCGCCTGGAGAGTTTTCCACGCGTCTGGCTCCTCCTCCCGCCCCTCCCTGACTGCTGCGGAGCCCGCGGGTCCGGAGTTCTCCCAGTGCCCTGAGTGCCCCCAAAGCCGGAGCCGGACCGAACTCCAGGCCGACCCAGGGCGCCGCGCTTGGGACGCCTGCGGAGAGAGCCGCTACTGCCCGCGTCCCCTTTCGCCCCACGCGGCCCCCCAGCTCCGTGACCCGAGGCCAGGTGAGTGAGGGTCCCCGGCCGGCCTAGGGCACGGGACTGGGCGGCGGCGGCGCACCATGGGCGCGGCGGTGAGACCCAGGACTACCCCGCCCTCCTCCTGGCTCGGCTCTGCGGCTTCCTGGTTGGCACAGCAAGGGTGGAGGGGAGAGGGTGCGGGTGTCGGGCCGGGCCAGGCCGGGCCTGGACGGGCTGCATCGGCATCATCAGCTCGATCAGTGGAGGGGACTGCCCTCCCGGTGGGACCCCCCACCCCCACCCGCACCGCCTGGTCAGGGCCACATAATTGCGCCGAGTGGCCGGGGTCAAGGGCTCAGCAGGCTTGGGCCGCCCTGGGACCGGGTGATCCTGGGACCGGGTGATCCTGCGACCAGAAGACGACTGGCTGGTGTGGCTGGTGTGGCTGGTGTGGCTGGTGGCCGGTGGCCCTGTCCCCTCTGACACAGCTGAGTTTTCGAGCGTGTGTGTGCCTTTCCGGGAAAGGCTTACACTAAGGAGAGCTAGTAGAGGAGACTTCCTGTACGAACTTTCTTCCAGAACTGGAAGGGCACAAATTCGTGGAAACTGCTACTGTGGGAGTTCATTGTAAGGCACTTTATTTGAAGGAATGCGGGGTTCATCCCGGGTGCTGTGTTCACCTCTGTGTTTACCTTCTCTGCCTTTACCCCTTTTTCACTTTGGCGACAATTTCAGGGAAGAATTCTTGGACGTTTCTCTCCCTTGGGGTCCCAGCTCAGCCCTCTGAAGACCTAACAAGGAAGAAGCTCTCTGTTGTCTTAAAGGAGAGTTGTGAGGTTCCTCATCTAGAGAAGTTAAGCTAGCCAATGCTAACCCAAGGGGGAACAGTCTGTCAGGGACATTTCTGTCCCTGCCTCTCTAATCAGTGACCTTTCTGTGGAGATGGGTGTTTTAGGATAAACCCTGTTCTCTCTCCTAGCCCTTCAGTTTGTTCCCTGTTGCCCTGACCCAGGCACAGTAGTGGCATGAGGGGCAGATCCTCTGCCCTGCCCACACAACAGGAACAAACATTGCAGGGAAGGGCCAGGCTAAGTCTGGAAGCTGGACAGGCAGGGCATGTTACCTTGCTCACCCCTAACTGGCTCTCATTAAGGTCCTTCATTTCTTGCTTCAGTGAATTGTTGGGAATTCCAGGATTAACAGGTACCTTCCCTCAAGGCACTTTTAAAGCTGCAAGGTATTCCCCAATTAGAGAGGCAAGGTGAGGTGCCAGATCAACAAACACTGGGTGTCACCTTGGGCTCCTCATCCTTCCCTAATCTTATCTCTTACTAGTCTCCCTGCCTTTGGTTTCCTCCTCTTTAAAATGAGGGTAATAACAATACGTCCCTCACAGGATGATTGTAAGGATTAAATGAGTTAATATATTTCACAACCATATAGCTCAGGCACTGAACTGAAATGAACAAGTGGTGACTGTTATACCACACCTGTGCTATTTCACAACCATATAGCTCAGGCACTGAACTGAACAAGTGGTGACTGTTATACCACACCTGTGTGTCCCAGGTGGATGTCACTCAGATTATGTCCCTAGTCACATAAGCTTACAGCAGACCCTGGTAACTTAAGTAAATATCTGTGAGTGTCAAAGATAATAATATATTGCTATCACTTCCTTCATGGAGCCGAAGGTCCAGCGAGTTAAACTGCCCTTCTGACCCGTCCCTCTGTCTTAGCTCATGTTCTTCCACCCTCCTGGAATGCCCTCTCCTTCATTTCCACCCATTATTCACCACCCTCCTGGGTCCCATCCCAGTGCCTGCTCCCAGCAGGAAAGGACAAGACATGCTGTGAGCCCATGCAGCTCTCTTTCTCCACTCCTTTGGCACTGACCTACTTCTCAATACTAGCTTTGTATAGTATTTGTATGGCCACGTGTCTTATCTCTGTTCTGTCCTTTGTCTCCAGAGGGTGGGGACTGTTTCTTACTCATCTCACTGTACCCAGGATGGGCCTTGCCTAATGCGAGTGCTCAGCAGATGCTAGTTGAGTGAAAGAGGCCAGGGAAGTAAGGTTTCTCTGTTGTTAAAATATTAGACCTTGAGATGGAAATGATTCCAGACTGAGAAGTGGGAGTAGGAGCTGACTGAGAGGCCAAATAGTAGGCCCTTTGACTCGTTTAGGTAGCTGGGGCAAGGATGACAGGGCCCTTTCTGGATTCCTGTTTCTAGAAGGCCAAGATAGATTAGTGATGCCTTGGTCACGTGATTTGGGGGAGGATGGGTAGTTTGCGATGAAAGAGTGAGAATTGAGTCAGAATAGGTTAGTGTGGGTTCTTTTTGAAAATTTACTGCAAAATGGGGGGCGGAGTGAAGCCACTGTGGGCAGGAGATGAGTGTGAAAACAATCTGTGCTGAGTGCTGGATGTTAGAGGCCCCAGGGCCTTTCTGGAGCTCTTCCTCCTTCTTTTCTCCACTTAGCTGCCATCTTTTCTCCTTGTAAACCTGAAGCAGTTCCTGGCACTTGGTCCTATGGGGACACTTGGGGGAGAGTCTGTATGAGTGTACCTCACAGTCATAGCCAAAGAAACACACTCGAGTTTCTCTGTTTTTTGTTTTTTGTTTCTCCCTACAACACCCTCTCATCTCACTGCCCCAGAATATCAGGAATTGGAGTTGTATCTAGATAGGAAAGCTCTTAGAGGAAAGGAAGAAACTAAAGTTTCCTTGTTGAGAATTTGCATTTTTAAAAAGAGTTATTGAAATTCAGTGGCACTTTCTAATAACCAACAAAACAATGCCACTTTCGGCCTACTGACTCTGACCCATGTATGCTGTGAAATAAAGGTCCAGTGTTACCTAGTGGTTTCTGTTTGGGAGGATCCTAACAGTACAGCCTGAACGATGACTTGAACCACTGCTGACTGTGCTTCACTGATGTGAGAACTTAATGAATGAGGGCAACCAAGAAATCAGGACAAACCATGTAGCCACACAGGCTCCCAATGTTCTGGATGGTAAAATGCCTACATCAAATGATTATTTGCAGAATCTGGTGAGAGGATGTTTACAAAAGTGTTTGAGATAAGTTGGGGCTGGTGATGACAATGGTGATATCTTGGGTGCATTACTGCAAGGAACCTTGAAGCTGGGGGTGGCATGTGCAGATGGTTGACGTCTATCTCTGATTCCTTAGTGTCTGGTCTTCTAGGGCAGCGGTCTCCAGCCTTTTTGGCACCAGGGACTGGTGGTCCTATGGGCATCTAATGCCTGATGATCTGAGGTGGAGCTGAGGCAATGATGCTAGTGCTAGGGAGCAGCTGCAAATACAGATGAAGCTTTTCTTGTCTGCCTGCCCGTTGCTCACCTCCTGCTGTGCGGTCCAGTTTCTGACAGGCCACCGACAGATACTGGTCTATGGCTTGGGGGTTGAGGCTTGTGCTCCTGAATTTGCCACGGCTTTAGCAGAACAGAAGGGAGGGATCACTCCTGAAATTGAGAAGGAAGTCAGGCGTCCCCAGCCTCTTGGAGCTGGAGCATGGGGAGAGACTGGCTTGAAGGTCAGCGAGATGAGAGCAATCTGAGGGGAGAGAGGAGAAGCTCAAAGGCCATTAACAGGGAGGTGGAGGGAGCATATGGCAGATTAAGCCCAGGGAGTGGCATCTCTGGGGGAAAAGGGTATGTATGTGGGGGAGCTGGTGATAGCAGATGTGAGCTTGTTGTGTCCACCTAAAAGGTCACAGCTATTTTTAGGAAGTGGGTGACAAGGCTTGTTTCTCTTGAACTCAGCATTAGTGAGTACCCACTGTTTCCCTAGCCCCAGGCTGTGTGTACAAATGCAGGAGCCACCCCCACCCACCCTAGGTTATCCCCCAGCTTGCCCTTGAGACATAGGACACAGGATGAGAACCAGGTCTGGAGATGGGGAAGATCATGAATTCAGTTTTGGACATGTTGTGCTTGAGGTGCCTTCTGGATACCAAGTAGGCAAGTGGCTCTGGGGCTCAGGAGGGATCTGGGCTAGAAGAATATTTTTGTTTAGGTTGTGTCTGATGTTAAAAGCTTGGTGAAATTGAGGAACTCACCTGGAACAACTGCGAAAAAGAAGATGAACCGATAAATGAGCCAGAAAATGAATAGTTAGGGAGAAGGAAAACCAGGACATTATCCCACACAGAAGCCAGATGAGTCTGCTTCAGTAGGAGGGAGTGGCCAGCAGGGGCCAGGAAGTGACCTGAGCAGTAATGTGAAGAAGATTGGGCACCTTAGCTGCCACTTTTTGTGGGATGATTAGAGCAGAAGCCAGGTGGAATTAATTGGTAGGGGAGTAGCAGGAGGTGAGAATCTGGGGGTACTAAGTGTAGACAGCTTTGAAGGTACCATCAGCTTTGAAGGGGGAGAGAAAGATTGAGTGGTACTGGAGGAGGACTGCCTCGAGGGGTGTTTTTTTTTTTCCCCTCAACCCATTCTCCTCCCATTCCACCTGAGAAGTTAGCAGTGTGGATGACCTGTAGCAGAGGATCCCTCCATCCTCTCTCCAAGTCGTAGAGACACAGGCACCTGTAAAACTGCGTGTTTCCCCATATGGATTCATGCTGTACACCACACTCTGTAGCTTGTGCTTTTGATTAATTTATCATAGACAGTAACCCTGGGTGCTATTACTTCAGGCCAGTAGCAGCTGTGGAATGTTCTATATATAATGTTCAGATGTACCATAATTTATTCAACCTTTCCCTTATTGATGGATATGAGACCATTGACTATTTTTAAAACTTGGAACAGTTTTGAAGCAAACAACCTATAGGAGCTCGATTGGAATGTTATCGAATGTATTTATTTATAAGGATGAGAGAACATTTTTATATTAAATTTTCCAAATCAGGGACAGATCACAGACCTTGTAATATGTTTTTAATAGATATTGTGAATGCGATTCTAACTGGATATGCTGGAATATAAATATATATAAATATACAGAGAGAATTTTTTGTATCCTTTCTACTTTTTTTGTGTTTCTCGGTCATTAATTTCAAACTTTAT